AATTCCATGGCTGATGTTGGCTGACAGGAGCGGTTCTGCAGTCATAGGGGCCGTAACATTACTGTTCTGCCCCACCACTGCTGACCGCCTTAGCGAGACCCTTAACCTCCAACCATTTCAAGTGTTCTGGATAAAAATGTGGTCTGACCCCAGCCTTTTTATATGTGGTCAAAAGTTAGTAGACACCTGCTTACCCAGTGTTTCTTCTGTAATTAAGGGTATTAATAGGGAGTTTGTCGTCCTTGGCTGCAGTAACAGCTTCTACTCTTCTGGGAAGACTTTACACTAGATATAAAGGTACTGATGTTGGATGATCAGTTCATCCCAAAGGTATTGGATGGAGCTCCATCACTCCAGAGAATGCAGTTCCTCTGCTCCTCAGCCCAATGCTTTATACCCCTCTAGCTGATACTTGGCATTAAGCATGGTGACCTTAGGCTCATGTGCAGCCGCTCCAGAGTGACCCATTCTATTGGCGCAATTAAACAGCTGTTATTTCAACAATGGATCAACCTTGAGGTTGCTCAGTTGGCTAATTGGAAGGCAGGTCTGGATACTGCAATGAGATGGAAAATATGTAAACAGACATTATTCAGTAAATATGGCCAATAAAATGATGAACTTCTTCATATTTTAACAGTGATAGTGTTCCAGAGGTCTGTGATTCTGGATGCTCTGTGGCATGTTTTGAATGATAATCTTAATGTTCAGGCCTGACAATGTTTTTGTGACTTTTTTCCTCGGTCATGAGAGATGTAGACTGTTTGTGGTTGTTTTTGGAATGCCAGAGAGGGACACAAAGACATATTCATCTCTCCATTTCCATATTTCAGCCAGGCAGTAGTCAAATTCATCTGTCTCTCTGGTAACATGCTGATAGCATTAGTGCTTTAAGAATAGATTTATGTGGTGAGGTTTTTTTTCCCAGACATGTTAGCGGATGGCTTGTGGTTAATGTGCATTTTGATTGACACCTCCCATGGAGAAGAATGCTCTCTCGTTCTTATTGTCCCTCTCCCAAGGGGCTGAGCTGCAGGCGAGCGTGTATGTAGGGTAATGGGGTAATGTCTGTCGTGAGAGCGTGCGTGTGCGCGTACGGACCCGGGCGAGAGAAAGAGAGAGGGTGAAAGAGACAGATGCATTTTTGATTGTGGTTTCACTGCGTGGTCGCATTGTTACGCTCTGCATGCTGTGTTACTGAGAGCTCTCTCCCTCTATGCTTTTGAATCAGCGTCGTGGTCTAGCCGAACTAGCCTCGATTTCGTCCTGCAACTGAGAGCATGAGCATCATCTGTACAGTAGCCACCAGAGAAATGATCACTCTCAGAGAACGACAAGCTACTGGGTGTGGTCATGCATAAAAGGCAGTGTGGACTGCTTCTGAATTTACTACATTAGTTTGATAGGCTTTGTACAGCTAACTTTAATCCTTTCATATAACTAATGCTGAAAAACCATCAAACAATATATTGGTTAGAATTTATAGATGTGTCAGAAATTATTGGATTGAAATGATTCATTAAACCATGCTGTCTCAATTAATTGGCAATAATTAGTTGGCAGTTTACACAGCGGCAATACGTATTTTAAATGATCCCACTGCTCTTTCTTACGGTAAGAAATAGAGCCACCCATTTGTTTTTCTGTTCCTTTAAACAAAGTCTTTGTAGACTTTTTTTCTGAAATCTATTTTATATCTTAACCCCTTAACAATCCAGGTTTATTTCATACATGTCTCTGTGTTGAGCTGCTAGCGAGCACTGTGGATTGAGAACCCCCTGCTAAGAAAACAGTGCACACCTCTACACAAAGATGGCCGTGCTGAGATAAAATGGACAACAGCAGCTTTCTTCATATCAAACAATCCTGTACAGCTAGCACAATAAACAAACAGCACTTAAAGACAATTTAAAACACCTTTATAAATCTTGACTTGTTTACTCAGCTCTGAAAACCTACCTTTAGCTTGCTTTCAGGTTTGTAAATGATACACGTGTCCTTCAAAATATATTACATCAACAAATGCATAGTTCAATTGAAGGAGCTCCAAAACAGGTGGAAAATGCATTTTATGGCTGCTATGAAAAAGCTTTAAAGGCCTGCTTGTTCATCTTTTTCCAGTAAAGTATTTTGGAGTCTTTGTAAGGCTCTGCATGGTTTGTTAATAAAGTTATTGTTTGGGCATTTTTAAAAACCCTGAATCCTCAAAATAATTGATTACTATTTTAATCTACAGTGTCAGCCCTGTTTTTTTCTATGGCAATACTATAAGTAGCTCTCATGTAGCCTTATGAATGCTGGCCTCTGAAAGCACCAGCTGGCCTTTACATTGTATGCACATTATATGACAAATGGACCACAAGTGGACTTTTTAAAGTTACTCTAACAGTGTATATGCATTTTTTCTTTAACTATGAAATTACCATTTCCATAACACAATGATATCTTACTATTACGACAGTGTATTTCTTTAAGTGAGTAATATAAGAATCTACAGCATATCATTTCATGTAACTAGCCATAAGATCTCCAACACCAAAGGCAAGCAAATGCGAGTTGACCCATTTGAATTCTCATATATGCTGATGCTCAATAGAAAAACTACTGTCGTACACCAAGGAGGCTTTCTTATATGCCCTCATGCCTGTCATGTCTTTTTATTGCCCCAAGCAGGCCAGTTTAGAGAGCAGCACCCAGCCGCTGTTTAGAGAGGCTTGTCTTTCGCCTGTCAGGCGATGTTAGGCTCGACCGCCAGACTATGCTGTGCTTTGGCTGCCCACTCCCTTGGAGGGGGTGACCTTTCCTTTGTTCCTGGTCGACAGGGGTCAAGTGGGGTGGGCATTGAGAATCCAGGAGGGGCTTGGACAGCACCCCCAACCCTGACCTATACAATTCATGCGGGCTTCTGGGCTGAGTTTTGTCACTAGGTGTGTGTGCTGTGGTAACCCTCTAGACCCTTTGACCCTGGTCTTGCTAATCAGCTTAAGTATTAGCGTCCGGGAGAGATGGGTGGTTTGTGGGTGAGGGTGGTGTTTTGAAATGGCACATCTTATTGATTCAAAATGAGAAGATATACAGTGTATGAGAAGCATTTGTCAAGCTCCATTTTCCTCTGAGATATGTAAAATAGGTTTACCATCAGGTATACAGTGCAGAAATGCTCCTCATTATACAGCATATCATGAAAAACCTTTACACTATGTGAGTTCCACACGTTCTCAGGGGAAAATTGTAAACAATGCTGGTCAGTAGGGCTTAGAGGTCCACGCAAGCGTGAAATTAAAGTCCGAACTTGACCCATACCCGCAACTTTAAGACTCGACCCAACCAGGCCCAATTGGTAGTGCTAAATTTGAAACCTGAAACCAAACAGAGATGGATTATCACAGATGGTTTAAATTGCTTTGCTTTGTTATCAAGTGTTTGAGTTGATCAACAGAAAAAGAATAAAAAAAAATTATGTGAAAGCTGCCCTGCGATGGACTGGCCAGCTGTCCAGGGTGTTTCCTGCCTTCTGCCCAATGACCGCTGGGATAGGCTCCAGCACTCCCATGACCCAGAAGAATAAGCGGCTTAAATAACTTTTCTTTCAATCTAATGACAATATCTCACTCTGAAAGGCTCGGTCATGGTGTGCAGAGCAGGCAACAGCTTTGCATTCATTTTTTCCCATTGATCAGTTGCAACCCACTGCATATAAGTTGCAATATATTAAAATCTTCTATTTTGTGTGGTTAGAGATTGGCTTGCATGTCACGCCTCCTTCAGACCTGGCTGAGCCTATAGCCAACCTTGCCGCTCAGGACTATGTTTCCCAGAGCCCCTCGCTGCAGCACGTGACACAGGACTCTGAGAAATCCACCTATCCCCGTTCCAGATCGCCTGACGTCTGATCACCCACACCTGTTAATTGTTTCATGTGTTTGTTAGTCTAGTATATAAGCCCAGGCTTTAGGTTAGTTAGTTTGCGAAGTATCGTCACTCGTGCGTACCGAGCGGTTCCACTGTGCTACTTTCTGCTACTCTGTGTATGACCTGTTTTCTGTTTGTGACCACGATTCTAGTCCTGCGCTTTTGTCCTGTTCTGATTCTCTGGTTTTCGAACTTTTGCTTGTGTTTACCAACTGTGAGTTTGGATTGCCCTTTTGATATTAAAGTTTTGAACTCAAGTCTCTGCTACGAGTGTCTAGTTCCACCGTTACAGTGCATTAGCTTTGACCAAAGTGAATCTGTCACTGTTAGGTGGGATCTTTATCAGCACTGCAAAAGACAGTACCATGATACCAATTACCAAAAAATATATTGTGCAGCCTTTCTAGTCAATCAAGCAGACTGAATACAGGAACAAATAAGTGTACATGTGCTTAAAGACCAAGCAAATGAGTGGTTTTCATGAGCAGCATATTTTAAGAGTTAGCTTTTCAGCCTATGAGTTGTAGTATGTTTGAAACATTGTCAAAATCTGCTTTTAGCTTTCAGTAGGAACTGAAAAGGCACCCTGGGTATGGTTCTCTTAAATATGCACTGAATTTGACACGTATAAAAGTGCAGTTTGTTGAAAATGTTCACGATTTTCTCCAAATCCCAAATGTAGTTGATCAGCAAAGACATTTTTACTGCTTCTCTAGTTTTGCACTGGAACTATGGGGCTAATGTTGCAAACAAGCAATGGAATTTGCGTTGTGCAAACTGCATGAGTTTGTCGAGTTGTTGAGAAATCTCAAGTAGTCTTACTTATGTGGTTTCTGACACTGTAGTAGCAGGCAGAATTTTATCTGTTCTTACTTCAGACACCAAACATGTCTTGGCTGATCAACTATATTTGGGATAAGGCGAAAACTGTGTACATTTGGTTTTTCACCACACTTTTCCTTTAAAATCAGAAGATAAAAAGGAAATCTCAGCTTTATCGCCTGCACGTCTCATCAACTTAGACTCTCACCTGCTGCAGGCCACTTTACCAGGAAAAAAACAAGACGATGGAAGAGATGAGAGAAAGAGAAAGAGAAAGAGTGAGAAAACTCAACATCACATGCTATCTCCTTTCTGGTATGTGGAGTTGGGTCGGTGCCGGATCGGAGAGAAAAAGCAGCCCACGCTGAGAACAAATGTTAACCTTTAAAGATTCTTTTTTTATAACAGCCATGATGGCTCAAAATGAGGGGAGGATGGAGTTTCCTGGAGTCTCCCTGAGTTTTTAACGAGGACAAATGATCGCAAGATTAGAAGGAAGAGCACAAGCAGATGAGAGATGTCGATTTCTTGGCGGAATGCTCGCTGAAACCTTCGACCGCTCCCAGCCTGCCGGTGGAAGATAATGAGAGCCGATAACCTGAAATAGGAAGCGTTATGCTTATCTCATCTGCGCTTGTTGACACCCTGATTTAAACTGAGCCATAGCTGTGTTGAAATCGGGTGACAGCGAGGAAAGAAAAAGCAGCAGACGCTCGGATGTGTCTGGAAACGGCGCATTAACTGATGGGGATGGGCCGCATTGCGTGCCTAGAGAAAAAAGAAGAGAGAGTGTGTTGTGAAAGGCGTGAAGCCTTGCATAAGGTGAGGAGATGAGGGATGAAACGAAGGGTGGAGAGGACAAAGGGCCATGAGAAAATCAAGAAAAAGTGACGTCAGATATTTGTAAATCAGCCGGTACTTCTGCTCATATCTTGGAGTGCATATTTATGGCCATGTTTGAGATTTATACAGGTGGGTTTTAAGCAGAACTTTGGGTGAGAGAAGTTCATCTGTAAGGATTGTGTAGATTAAGGCAAACTACTCAGCATACAAATCATCTCTGCTTTATCCCAGCCATTACAAATACCTGAAGCCCTACAGATTTGCCTGTCTGGCTTTGACAAAGATTCTTAAAAAAGCCACCAAAGTGGTGATTTGGAGCAATCACAGAAGAACCCCAGTTGGTTCCTTCAAGAAGTTGTTCTCACACTAGTGCACAGATGGTCAACACTTATTGCTCAGTCCCAGCAACCAACACAGAAGGATGTGGGCCATCTGAGGGAACTTGAAGTCTAGTTCGAGAACCCCTGCCATGAAGAACCTTTTAATGGACTGTTCTTTAAGGATTGGAGTTGTGATTTGGAGCAATCACAGAAGAACCCCAGTTGGTTCCTTCAAGAAGTTGTTCTCACACTAGTGCACAGATGGTCAACACTTTTGCTCAGTCCCAGCTATCTACACATAAGGGTGTGGACCATCTGAGGGACCCTGAGGTCTAGCTTGAGAACCCCTGCCATGAAGAACCTTTTAATGGACTGTTCTTTAAAGAATGGAGTGCAAACTCAGCCGCTGATTCAAAGAATGCAATTAAGATCTTTCCACTTATTAGGCACTTTATTAGGAATAACTAGCAATATCTATCTTGTGTCTACACTCATTGTCCATTTTATCAGGCCCACTTAGGGTACAGGTGCATTTAGATTGTAGTCCATCTGTTTCTCTGCATAATTTGTTAGTCCACTTTTACTCCATCTGTGGTCAGGACCCCCAAAAGACCACTACTTTTTCACTTTTTTAGTGTGTCCACTCTTTGCTTTCATTACAGCTTCCGTTCCTTTGCTTTCAGTTCTTCAAAGAAATCTGCATAGACATTTTTCCACTTTTCCAAAGTTCAGTCTTAGAAGTTGGTTTTGCATTTTCTGCTTCTCATGATCCAAGTAATCCAAACACATTCAGAAATCTGGACTCTGGGGTGGACAATCCATTGATCTGAAGGCATCAGCTTGCTTTTTTGTTTGATTTATTCTTTTTTTCTGTCTCCTTTTCTCAAATGAGTTCTTCTTGACAACTGCACATCCTTTCAGACCCATAGCGCTGAGTCGTCTTCTCACAGTGGAAGGATGGACAGAAACACCTGTGGATGTTTTCAGATCTGAAGCAGCTTGATTTTCCCCTCTCTCTCAAAGATGAAAGCTTTAGATACTGTTAATTACCGTTTTGGTGGTCTAGGTCTTGCGCAATTGTTAGGAGTCCCATTTTCTCTGTAGCTTTTAATACATTTTTGACCTGTTTGGAGAATCTCCACTCATTTTCCTTTGACTTTCCTCTTCTTTGTGCAAGTAGGTTTTTTTTATTTAATCTCCTTAGAAATATCTCCTATATAATAGACATTCTGACTGGAAATTAAGGAAATGAAGGGTGGTCTCTGGCTTTTGCACAGAGATATATATGGTGGATCTGATAAAATGGTCAATGAGTATAGACGCATAGTCGTTGTACCTAATAAAGTGGTCAGAGAGTCCATTGAAAAGTTATTTAATGCTGTTCTTCAGTGGCTAAGTTTGCTTAGCACTTCACGTATATTCATTCCTTCACCACACTTGATTTATTTAATATATTCGACTATATGAGGAGAGAAATTAAGCTGTTGTTCTTGGCTGCGTTAAATATGAAATAGAGCAGGAGTCTAAGGGCAGAAGCTGTAGCTCACTGGCTGAAAATGGTACCATATGAAACCTTAATTCAAAGTAAACACACGTCACCGGAGCTTATTATTGGAGCTGATCTTGTGACAACACAGCTTGGCAAGTTCAATAAGTTTCTTTAAGGTGAACAAGGACTCGGGACCACTTTGGGTCAGTGGACCAAATGGAGCTGGAGCTAATCACTGCCATGTTGGAGAACATTTGTCTCTTTTCAAAGGCTGTTCCTGATCTGGCTCTGGTTTTGAAGGCAGTGTCATGTTTTTCTGAGGGTTGAAATTATTCCGTGTAGGACGGGAGGGGTCAGGGTAATGCGTGATCATGGATTTGCTTAAGATAGAGTCTATGTATGTGTGTATGTGTGAACTTTGACCCCCCGCACTCCCTGAAGCTGTGATCCAAAGCAAACAGCGGCTTTTTCTCTCCCTGAGGAGGAACGGCTGCCAATGTGCTCGTTCACACGCTTCTTTCTCTCTTTTTGCTCTTTCTCGCTTTCACTGCTGCACTGCCAGTCTTTTAATGCATCATTCTTCTCTGTCACTTTTCCTCGTTTCGGCCTCAATCTCGTGTCTTCTTCATGCCTCATCATGAAGGCAGGTTCTTGTACACTTACAGCAAGTACCTGTGACCAATAAGGGTGTATTTTTTTTCGAAAGGGGGTCGCAAGACAACACATGACATGAATCAAATATAGTAAGATTAAGTTAGATACTAGGAATGGTTTCTAAAGTTCTGCATAACAGAGTCTATTATATTCCTAAAAGTAATAACCATCAATATCAAAAAACAGTGCACAGCTCTCAGAACTGGAAAAACTGCTTTGGTTAGCTTCCCGTGAACAAAACTGCAGTTACATTCTGGCACCTAAGGAAAATATGAATAAGAAGCTGGCAAATAAGAAGCTAATTTCGGCCTTGTCTGCTGTGGATGGTTGATTAGCCACGTTGTATGAAATGGCGAGTGGAGAGAGCAAACTTTAGCTGGACAAGGCAAAGTTACAACACTTCACTTTCCCAGTCAAGTACAAAAATGATAGGCAAAGAGTGATAGACTGAGCGATGCTGATAAAGAGGCCACTTAGCAAATACCTATGCTAACACTTTCATGAAGACGTCAAATGTCTGTATTACTTGTATTGCTTGAAGCAAGTGTAGGTTCACTGACTTATATGCATGTGATAGCCTGTTCAGGAAATGTTTGCATGTTAATTCTAGGTTATTTGTTCTATGGCAATTATTCAGTGGGTTTATTTTGCTACTCTTATAAAACTCTTATTTGAGCGGGTGGGGCTAGGAACCACCCTGTAGGGGTATGTGTGGGCAGGATGAGCAGAGACACATGAGCTAAATCAGCGAACAAGCTGTAAGAAAGAGAAATGCTCTGCTTTGTATGGGGTGGCTGTGGCCAACAACAGGCGGTAAAATAAAGCACCATGACTGAACAATACAGTAATATCAGCAAGAGAAAACTGTTTAAATCTAACAACAGAGCGAATCAATATTTTGAGTGTGCCGATTCTGAACTGGCAAACCAAAAACTCGACAGAGGTGTTGATAGCTTCTGATTTGCACCTCTGTTTGGTTGTAGAAAGTCCTGGATTGCGCAGTTTGTGGGGACCACATTAGAAAAAATGCCTCTCACATGCATTTCAGGCAGCGATGGCACACTTTATATAGAAACACATGATCTGATTGTAAATGAGCTTGTAATGCTCAGAGCCATAACAACACATGTTTGCCGAACACACGAGATCTATGCGATGGCTGGGCAGGAGAAATTTGGAACCAACCTTCAAATATCAGCTACTTTTTTAAAAACAAGAAATTCTTGTTACTTTTTCTTAATGTATTTATGCTTATTTATTTGGCCATTTATTTTCTCCCTGTTCTAGGAGGGCGAAGGCAAACACAAGCTTCTTTTGAGTCATGGGAGCCAGCCACCGCATCTTATCAAACTGCTGCTAATGCAGTGTCATTGGACAGCTGAACACACTTGGAGGAGAACACTAACCTCCAATTCTGTTATGTCAGCTAACAGATGCTTGCACTGGCTAGCTTTGTGCTGGGGAGGGAGGACCATCCTACCCTCCCAGAGAGAGCGAGACCTATCATGATCTCTTGGACTCCCAGCCATGGATGGCTGTAGCATCACTGTGGATCGAACTCAATTTCCTGGTGATAGGGCCAACCCCTGAAAAACAGCCCCATATCATTATCCCTCCTCTACCAAACTTTACAGTTGGCACAATGCAGTCAGGCAGGTAAGGTTCTCCTGGCATTCGCCAAACCCAGACTCGTCCATCAGACTGCCAGATAGAGAAGCGTGATTCGCAATGATTTAAATTTATTCTAATGATATAAAAATGGTAAAATGGTTTTAAACAGTGTGCACAGTACTTTATATACTGATGCTAATATTGAGACATCACAGTCACACGTCCATCAAGCTTTTTGTTTGTGTGAACATACATGTGTATGTGTCTTTATTATCTGACTGACTGAGGGTCCATCTTCCTCCCGCAGAGATTTCGAGCTGTGATGAGTGTGTATTTCTTGTCATCAAAGCTGGCCAGCAGGAACAGCACTGTCGCACATACACAGGCCTGCTTGGTTAAAACAGTAGCTGGGTGGATGCATGTGTTACTGTGATGAGTCACTGAAGACATCAGTGTAAGCAAATGAAAAATTAAGCTCACTTTCATAACTTGTGAGCTGCAGATGTTTCGTGTCTGCTTAACTATTCCCTTTGCTCCACACTTAGTTATCCTCCGCAAGCTTTGATGGACATAGGAGAGAGAAAAAAAAGACATTTTATCTGGCTTGTTTGATTAAATTCCTCAGCTTTAATCATCCCCTCCTGTCATGCGGGGAAATCAGGCAGAGATAAAGACGATGGTGGTAATCCTCTGTTGAAGATGAAGCCTGCTAAAATCAATGTTTCATATGGGCTGCTGAGTTTGAAGGTGAGAAAACAGATTCACACGGAAGCCAAAGATAGGACTTTCACTCTTACTCTTTCTCTCCCTCTCTTTCTTTCTCTCTCTCTCTCTCTCTCTCTCTCTCTGTCACTCTCTCTCTCTGTCACTCAGCTGGTGGAGTGACAGCGCTCGGAGTCCCAGAG